ACATTTTGAATTGAACCGCATATAAGTTCCCGAGCGATGATACAAGACAGCCGGATTTTCAAAATGTATTGACTGTGAACTAGAAAATTCCTGTGAAACAGCCAAAAAAAACTTTCTGTTGCTGCAAGTGATTTATTTATGTTGTCACACTTTACACTTTACTTGACACCGTCATTAAACACTCCAGGGATTCAACCTACTGTACATCATGTAAGTGTAGAGTTGGCAAGAAGTGTTGAGTTGCTTCCTGTTCCCAGAACATCCAGAGTATGCCTCAATGCTGACAGGAAGAGAGAGTTTTGAACTTGGAGCTTGACTCAACCTTTGTCACGCAGCTTTGTCCTCCTCACTGATCCTCCTGGCCTCGACCCTCTGGTCCCATCTTTGATTCAGTGTTGTTAAAGAATAAATCATAATCTTTTCATCCTTTTCCCTGAAATAAGCTTAGACACGCCAGATTTTAAATAACAAGTTTATCTCCCTGCATTATAATCTGTCCCCTTTTGAACTTCGGTAAGATTACTTCAGCAATGTGCTACTTGGTTCAGCACATCATCACCACTGATTCCTGTTATTGTGCTTTATCACTTGAGTTTTATTATTTATTCAATTGTATGTCTGTGAAGCTAATTCCCCAGTGGGCGATGTCCCTGGTGTGCAGAGGTCTGCCAGTTAAGGTTCTGTGTGTTCAGCGCACATATCCGATGACGGTGCACATGTTTCTGATTAGACAGAGAAAACAAACACACAACAAACAATAGAGCTGTTCAAATGTTCTCTATAGATGTAATCCATATGGGTAAAAAAAGCATCAAACCTATCTAGCACCACAGGGTAGCAGCACAGAGAAATGTGAAAACTCTGACTGCTGGTGCTGAAAAGCATGGAAAATGACTGCCCACAGCCAAATAAGTCAGAGAAACTGAGTATTAATGCTTTTGACATTTGGAAACATTTTAGCTTTGGCAGTGAATAAGTGAAAACTCGAATGATGGAAGTTGTCAGTATTCATTTACCTTAAATCTTTGTTTTAGTGTGGTTTAAGAAAAAACAGTTCACACACTTCTACAATTTATTGTGAGAATAAAGATATCAGACTGACAGAAAGAGGCGAGGAGAGAAGTCGGATGAGAGGTGGAGGGGAGAGGATGATGATGGTAACTTCCCTGTATTTGCAGACAAACTTCAGAGGGCATCACAGCATAGGTGGTCATACATCCCTTTAAGTGGGATTACACACACAATCAGACACACAAAGTGTTTGTGTTTGGGGTCCATTGAGATGTCCAAGTACATTTTTCAACTACTGATTGTAACTTGTTGAAAATTGAAGTTGACAAAAGTTCATTTCTCTTCTGCCTGTGATTCGTTTAAACCATTGGGGAATGAAAGAAAACTTGGTTGACTGACAGTGTTCCTCTGGTAGGAAGTTTACATTTCAGTATGTCCATTCATCTTCTCTCCCATTGGACCTACCAATCTGAGCTGTCTGCAAGATTTCACATGTGAACTGCTGTTTTTACAGAGGGCACCTACCCAGACTGCATCTAGCATTAGCTTGGCACCTGGGTATGTAGGTTTTAACAATGTGTGAACCAACACTGGAAAACAGGCCCATAAAAGGTGAAAAAAAACTGAATTTAGGATATACAGTAAGTCACCAATCTAGCCATTTCTACATTTGGTGCACTCTATGCTCTATGCATGTGTCAGCTTGTGTTTTAGGCCATGCTCTGTGTCAGGGCACTGCTGCCACCGTGTATCACCAAAACAGTCCTGATCCCATTGTTGTGGTCTACAGCTATCACCGGCTGGAGTCCCCCAAGCCACATCTAAGAAAAGACTATATTTATCACTGGAAAGCAATGCATACCCAAGCTAGCGCTCACACACTGAAACACAAATACACACATAAACATCCATGTGCACATACAGTTAACTGAATCCACATTGTGGTTCTGGTGGGTTCATGTGATGTGTCGTCCTCATTCTGTCTGGTGTGGTTTGTTACGGCTGTGTTTGAGGACTGCTAAACAATTCCTCTAATGTATCGACACAACATGACCTGGAGGAGGTAGACATATGTGAAAACGTGTTTTAACCTGGTCAGAACCAGTTTGCATACACATGTTTTACTGTGCACTCTAGGAATCACTTTAAAACCTTTTACAGGAGGATAAACACTAAAACTAATTTCCTTGAGCTAAACATTTTGGACGGTCCACCTACGAAACCAATTATCATCAAGAAGTTTATAAGAGAGCACAGTAGTGTAATACGGTTGCTGTGTGGTTTTGTGCGCACAAACATACATAAACACACACCTGCTGCTGAGTGAAATCACAAGCAGATGCATTAGACATCTACAGTAACATGGCAGACGTCTGATGCACCCGGATGAGAACCCATCCCAGCCCTGTAATTACTATCAGACACAGAGACACATGTACAAACTGGGACAGGGGAACACGTGGGAGACATTAGCACTGTCACTATGGCCACACATGCATGTGTAAAGTACAACAGAGCTTGAATATACATTGATATGGACACGATGATGCTTTACTCATGTTGATTTATTAACCAGTATGCGATTTAAGAAAACATTCTGGTTCTCTTTTTTTCCCACTTAAAACCTGAGGTTTTCACTCAACCCAAAATAAAAACCATGTGTTCCACTTAACTTAATTGCAGACTTCACCTGTAGAAATGCAATTATTTAACAATGTGTGTTCTATGGCCTACAGCATATGTTTGTATACCCACAGTTATATATATATAAGTCTAATACAAGTTGTGAAAATACCTTCCTTGAGGCTCAGTAACAACTTTCTTAAATTCACTTTAGAAATGGCATGTGAAGGGAAACTAAATGCCCCTCAGCAGTGAAATGTTTGTGGAGTTTAGAGCCAGAAAAACATCAAATCCAGTACAACTACTCTGAGGAGAATACAATTGTATGTCTAAATTTTGAGGGGGGAAATGACCACATGAAATACTCTCAGTTCATTTTTTTTACAAGGGCACACATCACAAAACACAAGAGCTTTTCGGTAAATAAAAAATGTCTTCATTAAAATGTTAAAGATCTAAAAGGATAAAGATGAAATTCAACAAAACATTTAAAAAGGTCAGAGTAGAGTCGGTCCACATTGAAATCTGTCAGAGAAGACCCTCCCAAAACAGTTTACCATAATCCAATGCAGTAACAAGAAATGTCTTGTTTTGAGTAAGATCAAAGACCTAATAAGTAACTGGTTCATATGAGGCAATAAAACAACCCTGTAATATGATATGAATGTAAACAAAATCTCAAAAAATGCTTTGTAAAATGATTTTATCCTTGAGACATTTGTCAAGTTCCAGGCATCTGATGAAGGCCATACAGACATAGCACATAGCAAGGAGATAACGGATGAAACACAAAGTCACACTCCATCACCACACAAAGAAGATATAGCATGTAGCACCTGCGGATGTGCTACAGTGTCTGGCGTTACCTGACTTACCCGTTTATGCACATAAACTCTCAAGATGTTGTGGAACTGTTCAGACAGTCTCTGAAAAGCAAGCGCACCATGCTTTGCTCATAACAAAATACATAATGTTCTCTCTTTGTTATTCTACTTCCAGGATGCTAAACAGCCGAGAGCAGGATGTTAACATCACACCACTGCAGCCGCTGGGATTCCCAATCTACCCTCCAACAGCCAATAAACCTATTTACCCCTTGCATACAAAGAAACAGGATTTGTTTCTTACGCACACGAGAATACAAGCACACACAATTAAGTTAAGATGGACAGCTTTGCAACATACTAAATCCTGGGAGCTTGGTGTGGTCTATTAAATAACTTTTCTTAAATTATGATGTGCTGAAAACACAACCATGTACATACATTTTATCTCCTCCTCTGTGATAAAAGTTGTCAAGTATTGCTTGAATAAACAAAAAATCGGAGGGTGAAGACAGACAGGAGGTTTACATTCCTCCCTGCAGCTCAACCTTATAGTCACAACATTATGTGAATGTATCAGTTAATTTCCCACCATAGGTGATTCATCAACAGCTTGATAGTTTATTTGTCTTATTCTAGCTCCTATCTGTGGGCCTTTATATCAACTGACCAGACGAAAACCAGCAAAGAAAACACTGTCTGTTGGCTACCTGAGCTCTGCACAATGCAGGTTTTCTGAATAAACTACAAGTAAAGGCCTTCTTCTTCTTACTTTGACACACTTTCCTTTGGGTTCAGTACTTTCTAAATTATAATCACTTCCAGTGTCTCTGGAGAGGTTCCACTGAAGGTGACCCACATTTACTAGATTAGCAAATAAAATAGACCAGTGTCTCCATATTCCTACATTTTCTGAGCCAAGGGTGACAGCAATATCCATCCCTATATAGATATGTCTGTTTACACAAATAACACTGTTAGGAAAGATTGCTGGCCTTTGCTCAGTCACTGCAATGTGAGGCGCAGAAGACATTTTAATTAAGTCCTTTGTTTATTGTTGCAAGATATTGAAAACAAACTTCATCTGAATTGCAAGTACTTGGCACTGCTCATGGTTGTGACAACCATGAAATGCCAGCTTTCCAAATGTTTGAAAGTAATTCCATTAACAAGGGTTTGATGCTTTACAGATGAAGAGATTGAGATCTGAAGTGGCATATATAGTCACATTATGCAAGATCTGGCTGGACTGCACCCTGATTGCGACAAAAGAAAAACTCCCACACTCTTCTCAACTCTTAAATCTACATCTAACTGGTTCCAAAGCTGATTATGCGAAACACAAACACAACATGTCAAAATGTGGTACACTTAAAACATTTCCATTGCACTGGGGAAGTGAGTTCCTCCATTCTCTACTAAAAGAAGTGGTTTCGTGGCGCCATCTAGAGGACTAGAGCCTCGTGCTGCTGTGCACCAGCAGATGGCGCTGTCCAGCAGGTGACTCACTGGACTGACAGCACGCCGGCACCGGAAACGAAGATCGGAAGCTACACAACATCATTTAAACCAAGGCAGGGATTGTTGTGTAACTGCAGGTTTTGTAAGTAATTTCTGTCATTGTTCATTCGACGTTCGGTTTAATGTACCACATTAGACCCAAACTGATAACTTCCTGTCGCATGAGTCTATTTTTGTTGGTAGTTTAATTCAAACCGACCGCCTGCTGATGATGTTCGGCTCACTGTTAGCTTAGCGGGCTAGCCTAGCCACGTAAACAATGGGCATCTGTGAGAGCCTTGTTACTAACTCAACTGCATGTGCTCGTTACAACGATGGACCTCACTTGTTTTTGTATATTATTTGCCTAGAGCAGGTAACTGTTTCAGTAGATGTACTAATGTCCCCCTTTCTACGCTTAACGTTACGCATTCTCAGGATAACTAACCTCGCTTAAAGTCAGTAAACGTTTACCAACATCCAAGCTACCGCGGAGGCAATTAAGCTTACGTTATCCCACAATGAGTATATTAAGTAAACATTTTATCTTGTACTTAGAAGAGACATAACGTTAGATTGTCAGTTTGACATGTGAATGACACATTTGACTGTCTGCAGCTACATCACTATGCCTGTAGACGGTTCAAAGGACCAGGTGCCCTCCTGTCTCTCCAGCCCTGCCAGTGCTGCCCTTACCCCGGGAGGGACTGATGAGGATGGGTCTACAGGGGGCTCAGCTGTCTGCTCTTTCCCTGAAAACACTCAGGGCTCCGAGGCTGCTGCAGCCTATCCTGCCAACACTGGACCTGGGGAGGGCAACAGCGGTGAGATACGCAACTCCTGCACCATAAGACCGCAGGGAAGAACATTACGAATAGCTTTGATCTGTCAAACTGATTCCTGGCTCTCTCCGTGTGTTGTCATCTGCGGTGGGGTATAGGTGGTAAGAGGTCTGGAGCCTTGCTGCAGATCGATCGACAGCGTATTCAAGCAGCATCTGCCAGTTCTGGAGCCAATGAACTCCAGGGCCTTGGTGTGGCTGTGTATGACCATGACGTCCTCGAGCAAGGGGTCCTTCAGCAAGTGGACGAGGCGATTCAGGAGGCCAATCAGGCTGCTGCTAAAGCTGAGGCTGAGAAGGAATACCACTCTGTGCTGGATGATGTCAGGTAAAGGACAACAACTGCAATAATAGAGAGGCCTTTGCCTAGTGTGTTTAATAAAAATCATATGGTTTAGTAGCGGTAGTAAAATCAGATAGGTTCCTATAAGACATATTTGCAGTAGAATTTTTGACGTCCGAGTGAACTCGGATGAAGACAATTAAAGACAAAAAAACATATATTTTACTAGGGCACATTTCACATATGTCTTTCTGATTTAAAAATAACAATCTTCCTCTTTTTTTTCATGGTGTGTGTTTCAGGTCGGTCACAGCGTCTTTGAAACAAATCAACAAGATTATCGAACAGCTGTCTCCCTATGCTGCCTCCAGTAAAGATATCAGTCGGAAGATTGAATCTGTCAAACGACAGAAAGAAAATAAGGTACAAAACTAAATATCACAAACCTTTAAATTACAATTGTATGAATTTCATAATAATGTTACATTAACCTAACGTTGATAATGATGAAAACACTTTTCATATCAGGAGAAACAGCTGAAGAAAGTCAAAGCCAAACAAAAGCGACTTCAGGCCATTCTGGGAGGAGAGGATACCGAGAGAGTAGAAGCTGAGCTTTTGGCAGAGGATGATGGAGAGGAAGGTGAGGTTTCTTTCTATGATTATTTTCTAATTGACTAAAAGCATTGTCCACTCATTAATGGGGGAAACAATAAGGCATAAGGCAAAAGAAAGTGCTGGTTTCCTGCTTTCTATGGATAATGTGAAACCAGGGTCATGTTCAGCTCTGCCCAAATTGTAACAAAACAAAGCAGAAATGGAAACAATGCAAAGCGTTAAACCAGTTGCAGTTATGGTGGCCATTGTCATAGAAGATTGTAAGCAAAGGCTTGAATATATTTTGGGTGATTAAAATACTCAGTACAGTGATGGCTGTTCATATAGTCACATCTTCAGCCGATGTCACCCCGACACACTCGCCAAAATATATGTCAACGGTTTTGAAAGATGTGCACTGTAATGAGAAAAATATCACAAATTTCTGTAAAACATTTCCACATTGATCACTCCACTGTTACAGTGTTGAAATGGTTTTTTTCTCCAGTTTATGTGTTGCCACTCAACACAGTTCACCTTTTCACAGTAGCCTTAGAGTTCCACCTGCTGCTGTTTGATGGGTGAGATGGAAGTGAAAACCAGTATATTTATTGTGGAAACGTCAACAGAACTGTGATACAAAACTAAACCCTTCCACACAGCTTTCATATGTTTACACAGAAGGACTGCACATATACTGCAATTACAATTCATACCAATATCAGAGGGTTGTTGCTATTAGACGTACAGATTTGAAAGTTGCAACCTAAGAAGAGCAGTGTTTCAGCCAAATGTGATTCAGTGCTGATTTAACCTTCCTCCCAAGATTTTCTGAACACAAGTTCATTTGTGTATTTATTATGCGCTTGAACAAACATGTAAATATGGCTGCACACATACAGGGGCACTGTGGAGTTTTCTTGAAGACAAGACGGTTATGTTAACATTCAGTTTTTCTCACCAAATTGTCTTGTATCCATCCTTGAGGGCTAACAAATCTGTTAAGTGCATTTCCTTTCTCACAGAGCACAAACAGATTAAAAAACAACATTTTAAACCTCATGTGAGGCAAACAAAATGGGGACCTACTAATCAAAACATTGATCCACAATGTTACTAGTTTCAGCTGATTCTTGATGGTACTGTATCTAACCCTGCTTAATGTGTGTGTTGCACAGAAGCCGGGCCATCCACACTGGGCAGCATGCTTATGCCTGCTCAGGAGACCGAATGGGAGGAGCTTATCCGGAAAGGTCACATGACTCCGTTTGGAACACGAATCCCACAGAAGGAGGTAAAAAAGAAGCCTCGAAAAGTGATGCTCGCTGAAAACTCTGCCTTTGACCTGTACTTGGCGGACCAGGCCAAGATGGCTACTGAGAGGAGGAGAGTCCCTCTTCTCAAGAAGAAACGGAGCTCGAAACTCGGCCCCGATAAAGCCAAGGGAAAAACTAATTCAATTGTTTCCACTTCCAAGGACAAAAAGATGAAGAAGCGCATCCGAAAGCTTCAGATAACAGCTCTGAAGGCCCGTCCTAAGGCTCGGTCTAAGGCTGAGCCATGCCTCCCTAAACCAAGGAGCAAGCTTCACACTAAGGGTGAGGGGACAGACAGCGAGGCTTCAGAGTACCTGCCCAGTGATGAAGGTGTTGATCCGGACCAAGAGGAGAGAGAAGCCATGGAGGAGGGCTTTGGGGATGATGATGATGAAGAAGAGTACAAGTTGAAACCATACAACAAGAAAGGGGAACGGAAAGGGACAAAGAAAGTAAAGAAGAAAGAGGAGAGTGAGGAAGAATACTGCCCCGAGAGTTCGAAGGAAGAGGAGGATGCGAAGGGAAAAGACAAAAAAATCAAAGATGACGGAGATGTGGAGTACTACCGACAGCGAATACGGTATGATTATGTACTTTGTGCTGTAAACTTTCATAAATTATTGATTGTAAACAAATGATAAAACTGGGGGTCAACACAGTTTGTCAACAGTATATTTTTTTCTTGGATTTATTGTTGGATGCAAAGGTGCAAAAAGTTTTCATCAGCAAGTCCTCCTCAAAAGAGAAAGCGTTCATCCGGGCCTGTAAATCACAGGCAGATTGAGCCTTTAACTTTGCTTCACATTCGCAGTGGCAGCGGTGCAAATGTGCTATTGTTGTTCCCTTTAGTTAAGGCGAAAAGCAGTCGCTTTCTGCTGGCTCCATAGTGCAGAAGGAGAGTTAATCCCAGATGAGATTGGCAGCTGTTTCTTGACTAAGCAAATTCACTCCCCGCTCTTCTTCTCTCTCTCTCTCTCTCTCTCTCTCTCTCTCTCTGCTCTCACACTGGCCTAATTATCCTCCTGCACATGGTTTTATACACTCACTCTCTCTAATGCTCAAATTAATGGAAGAGCAGCCCTAATGAGATTTCATATTTATAGCTGCCAAATAAATTGTGTTGGCATGTGTCCTTTTTCTACACTACAGTGATTGAATGTCAATTCAACAGCATAGGCACGGCGTGGATGGTGAGGCTAGCTTATATGAGGAATGATATTATTAGAGTGGGCGGTATTTGTAGTTGGGGGGGGGCAGAAAAGTGTAATTAACTGAACCAATGCTTAGTCTTGACTTAATTAGAGAGTGTGGTCTCCCAGGCCCAGCTAAAGGACCAGTTTTGTGGCAGGGTGACAGGACCAGGCCCAAATGAAGATGGATTCTTATCCTCTCCACCTCACACCTTTCTGGGGAACTCGCACTACTAATTGTCTGTATCAATCTTCATTTGCTGCGTGACGACTGTGCCTCTAACTGCCCTCTCTACTGCACCATTAAAACTGTTCTCCTTTACATTTCCCTTTTTGCTGGAGATGTTCCCGCCCCTCAAGGGAAATACCAACAACTCAAAACATTTGCTATCCACGCACCTGTGTAGGCAAGACTTAAAATAAATCAATTAGTGCAAGAGGTGTGCATTCCATATCCATCCATTCTCTATGTATCTAGTGTATGTAGCTGGACCTATCCCAGTATGCACAGAGTGGCAGGGCGTAACCTGGACAGGTCACCAGTCTACTACAGGTCACCAGTCTACTATAGGTCACCAGTCTACTACAGGGCTTTTTTTTTTTTAGAGCTTTGGATTACCACATCTATTTAATTGTGGATGTATAACACAATATCAATCAGCAGGGATTTATTCTTTGACGTCAAGCTCAGCAAGTTGGCTGTGTTCACTAATATTGACTGAAGCGCCCTCCTCCCTCTCTTCAAAGTAAAATGGAAGAAGGCATTTCACCCCTTGATGTACTTCATTATTATGTACTCATCCTCTTACTAGGAGATGGAAGCGACAGCGTCTTCGAGAAAGGGAGGCGAAGAGAGAAAGAGGCGAGGAGCTCTCCGACGACAGTGATGAAGAATTTGACGAAGGCTTCAAAGTGCCCGGTTTCCTCTGGAAAAAACTTTACAAGTAAGTTCATCGTGAAAGATTGGGAGTTATCTCAATTATTTACAGATGTTGTAAGGAACTAATAGCGTGTGACTCGTAGCAGTAAAATAATAAGTGTATGTAAAATATCTGTGGACTTTCTTTGGTGTCTTGGTCCGTGACACACCGTTGTCCTTAAACTGTAATGATTAACCAACGATTATTCGATCAAGACATCACTACCTCGATTCACTTACTACTACTCTAGCTCACTAGTATTCATTGGTAAGTAATTGTGTCAGTCTGTTGTTTTAAACCACTTCTATGAAGAACTGTGGCAACTTTGAGTTTCGCTAGTTGATAAATAGTTTGCCAACCTGTGATTGTCCTTGTATCTGGTCAAATCCTCTCTTGTGCTACTTTGCTGGCCTTGTCTTTCTTAACGCACCACGTTTGTCCCAATTTACTTCAAATTGTGTGTTTGTTTGTTTTTTTTGCATGGATTTAATAATAACATAGTACTATATTAATCACTTTAAGGAAACTGACATTTGGCTTGCAAGTTCAAGCACCTCCCACCTCTAGCTGGTATGGATTGGGTCATTTACTGGCAAGCGTAATTGAACCAGATTTCAGTTGAAATACAGTACAATTACATTACATACAGTCCATTGTGCACTTGGATGTCCATAGTTGCTGTCATGCATAGGCTTTCTTAGTTATTTGCTTATGTGTTTATCACATCGTCAGGTACCAGCAGACAGGTGTGCGGTGGCTGTGGGAACTCCACTGTCAGCAGGCAGGCGGCATCCTGGGAGATGAGATGGGATTGGGTAAAACCATCCAGGTCATCTGCTTTCTGGCTGGACTGAGCTACAGCAAACTGAGGACCAGAGGATCCAACTACAGGTACACACAAACACACACACACACACACTAAACTGTGGCCAGAGACTGTGTGTCTGTATGGTATGAATATTTGATTAGGGGGATTTGTGCTTGAGAGTCTTCATCTGAATTATTAAACATGTTTCAATTATCAGACTCTTCACTTTCTTACTGCAGACATCAGAGAAAACACTGACACTGTGTGTGGGGGGGTGTGTGTGTGGGGGGGTGTGGGTGGGTGTGTTATAGTAGAGTGAGTGTCTTCATGAACACTTAAAATTAATTTTGGACTCCTGAACTGGGGATAGAACAGTTGTGTCGCAACAAATCAACCATGGATAACATGACGCAGTTGTTGTGATAATCTGGTTTTACTGCACAGACGACACTCGTACATTTGGGAGGCGGAGCTTCCCTGATGGTCAATACTCTGTCTAGTATAGATGCCCACAAATTGATTGCTTGCAAACTCAATTATGGCCAAGTATCAATAGCTTCCACCGGGCAGAGGTTCATACCAGCCCATTAGTGTGTCTTTATGAGTGTCTGTGTATGTGTGCTCTTGTAAATCTTCACAGAGGAGCTGAGCGTGTGTCGAATGGATCCATGCAGCTCCCTAGATTCATTCACAGAGAGTATACGGGTCAGTGGAGGTGGACATTGTAGTAGGAGGATTCTGCTGCATTATTGTACCTGGACACTCGGCTTCCTCTAATTCCCTCATGCCTTAATGCATAACACCTTTTACATGCAAGCAAAGCTCGTTTCCACTTAATGGGAAAAGCCTTTATTTCCTATAATTTGGTTTAGAAAATGATGACTGTAATTTGCTAATGAAATTTGCTGAGGTTATCCAAAGTGAAATGAACCCCCGAGTTCCCTTGTTGCCCATCTGTAAGTTAACCTCTCTGTGCTGTGTGTTTGGTCGTAGATATGTTGGTGTGGGTCCGACGGTCATCGTGTGCCCAGCTACAGTGATGCACCAGTGGGTAAAGGAGTTCCACACCTGGTGGCCTCCTTTCAGAGTGGCTGTACTACATGAAACTGGCTCGTTCACCAGCAACAAGGTAATTGTGTGTTTGTGTGAGTTTCATTCTCAGATTCATTATTAAGTTTTCTACAGGGTCTGTTTGTCCTCTGGGGGGCACTAGAGGTCTGTTTTGCAGCATTATCTCCGAACCTTGTCCCCTCTTCATCTCTCTCTCCTTAAACCACATTAAGGAGATGCTCAAGCTGCCAGAGATGGTTATGAATCACACTGATGAAAAACTGTAATTATTTATGTGTATTTTTTTTTAAATTTGTTTCAGGTAAAGCTTATTCCAGAGATAGCAGCATGTCATGGTATCCTGATAACCTCGTATTCAGCTGTGAGGAATATGCAAGACACCCTGCAGCGCTTCGATTGGCACTACATTATACTGGATGAGGGCCATAAGATCAGGAATCCAAACGCTGGAGTTACCACTGCCTGCAAGCAGGTATTGTCTCAAAACACTGAGACATTCATGAACACACACATTCTAACCACAACATTATTGGAAGCATGCATACAATAGAACGATTTGTACTTGTGAATACATTTAAACTTCACACACTCCACATTCCTCTCAATAGAAGAAGCTATTTACTTCTATTCCTTCTTGTACATCAACATCTAACCTGCTAGGACATCACTTCGCTCTTTCCTAATACCTAACGTACATTCTTTCTTCCCTCTCTCTAGTTTCGCACTCCCCACAGGTTCATTCTGTCGGGCTCTCCGATGCAGAACAATTTGAAGGAGCTGTGGTCTCTGTTTGACTTTGTCTTCCCCGGCAAACTGGGGACATTGTCTGTCTTCATGGAGCAGTTCTCTGTGCCCATCACCATGGGAGGATACAGCAATGCCTCACATGTGCAGGTAGCTACTGGAATGCACAAATGCAAAATTAGGATTCGTTTAATTAATATAATTAATAATTTAATCCATCATGAAACCAGGTGTGAAAAAGACTGAGCATAAGGATGTCACGGTGCTTAATCTTGTATTTTGAATTGTACAATTTGATTGATTTGATTGGCCGTTTTCATTTAAAATGAGGGTTAAAAACAGGATAACACAAACATATGTCGTGTTTTTTTTCATTGTGGACCAAAGTAGAACTCGGTGAAACACGGAAGCAAAGGATATATGATGGTGTGTCATTTTAGAAGCGGCGCTCATAATTCTGCTGCAAGGAGGTGCCCATAAATAAATCTATAACCTTAGCATAAGGAGGAGGGCTAAAGAGTCACGTGACAACACTAGTCACGCACACGCATGTTGGCACAAATGTTGGACAGCTGGATGGAAGCAAGTCAGGAGGAGAGATGGTGGAGCGACAGAGCCATTAAGTGCAGTGCAGGATAATGTAGGTCCATGCAAAGGAACTCCAGTTCATCCCTAGTGTGTGAGTGAGAGAGGGAGAGAGGGAGAGGCTAAAGTGGAGAGTCAGTGAGCTAAATTGTAGCCCTTTGTCATTAGTGCTCAATCGTTAATAACCCACTGACTGTATGGATTTAATTATTTAAGCTGGCTATTGATGCTTCTTCCGCTGTCGATAATAAAAACCTTTACTAATTATTAATGTTATTAAATGGTCAGAGAGGGCTAAGCTCTGCTGCCTTATCCTCTTCTCGAAATTCTCAGAACAGCAAAGCAGGCCCTCGGCTGACGTTCGTTCATGTGCATGTACAAATAGATGTATGTAAGAACGCATGTGGGTGGGGGGGGGGGGGGCTGTGGACGCTGGATCCATTACTGAAGCATGTGTTTGCATCCCCATGTGAATCCACTCGGCAGCTTGTACAGAGATCCCTGGATCATCTGCTGCCCTCCTCTTCTTCGTTTCCACTCTGACCTCCACTGAGCCCAAAATCCCACCACGTTATTGTCCCCTCCAGCGTTTGCAGAGGGTGCCTTTGATTCCTCTGTGGACCCCCAGTGAGTGTAGTTTTAAAAGGCTAACTGGCCCTAAGTACTGACTCTGGATGAGGTGTAGCAGGACATTTGCATCGGGGCTCCTAGTGGTGGGGGTGGGACCGGGAGCTCCCCCCCTCTGTTTCCAATGGAGCCGGCCAGTAGTGCTGATGAAAGAAGAGGGCTTTGTCCCCCGAGACCAACAGCACTCTGATCAATGTTTAATGGCCTGTGCTGCTGAGAGGAACAGCATACATGCAGGAGGTGATGAGAGAGGGCAGAGGAGGGACTAAACGACAATCATGCCTCAGGAAACATCCACACTGACAGGTGTGGCTGTTGATGTGGCTGTTTGACACCCCCGAACTGAATCTTGCTTTTGTCTTAAAGCAGTTTGCTTTTGTTGTTTCTCAGGTCCAAACGGCATTTAAGTGTGCGTGCGTGCTGAGGGACACCATCAATCCGTACCTGCTCAGAAGAATGAAGGCAGATGTCAAGGCCAACCTCTCCTTACCTGACAAAAATGAACAGGTATTCGTCATACTCTAGGACATGTGACCCTGTTCTGTCTAAGTATCGAACCGCCTCTCACGCCTGCTTCTTTTAACTGGGGAGGTGTTTATCTGATTGGATGTGACTGTATGTGCCACGTCTAAGGAGTATTTGATGAATGTGCATGGCCCTTGTCAGGTGAAGCCAGCTAATAAAGTCCTAGTAAAGTAAAAGGAGCAGGTATTCATTAAGGTGGCTGGTCCCTGGTCTGTCCACGCGGCGGACGCTGGTTGACTCCTCAGTCCACTTCAGCTCATTAAATCAGTCCCTCGGGACAGTAGTGGCTCCAAAAACACGTTGCTTTCATCTAATTCCTGTCCTCTCACACTGCACTTCATCAAAGGGCTTTAAAGTGGACCTTCACTGCTTATTACACACTTTTACACTGCTGTGTGTCTGTGTGTGTGTGTAGGTTCTGTTTTGCAGATTAACAGAGGACCAGCGGGAGGTTTATCAGAGCTTTTTGGATTCCAAAGAGGTCTACCAGATGCTTAACGGGGGCATGCAGGTAAGCCGCGCTCTCATCGTTAAAACGGTTTCGCTGTGTTTGTTTTATGCGTCTTCAATTTGGGCTCTTAGTGTTTGACCCACACTCTTGTTTTAAAGACAAGAAGAGCAAAACTCTCCGCCAAGTAGAAGACTTCCAGGAACAAGACTTGCCTTATTCATTATTTAGCCTCCTAACTGATGATCATTTCACCTCTCTTGCTCAAAGGCATTGGTGTGTATTGTGTATGCACACCTTGATGCACACAACACCTTGAAGAGGCATCAGTGGAATTCATTTTTTTCTTCCATGTACATTTTGTTAAGCCCCTAATAGCTTGACTTTAGTATTCTTTGCTCTCCTTGAGGAAGCTATGTAGTTGTTCTTCTCACATTAGCTCGACTCTGCAGAGAGAGACTCCACCATTTATCACCACTGACCAAATGGACGTGGTTGGAGAGCCAGGGGTGACCACAGCAGATTGTACACACACACCTATACACATATGCTCTTATAGACATATTCAGTGGTCACTCTCTGTCCATTAACCACCATTACTAATGCAGTGGCCATTGGGCCTTCATCAAGAAACACAGCCTTTATTATTGGTAAATAAATGATGTGACTAATTCCTAAACTAAATGTGTTTATTTGTTTAAAGGTGCAATGCTGTACAATGGCCAGATTTGTCACCTAACACCAATTCTGTGTAATTGAAGGAAATGGTCTATTTAAAAATCTTTTGTTCTTTTTTTTTTTTTTTTGTGCTTCTCAGATATTCGCAGGTTTGATAGCACTACGTAAGATCTGTAACCACCCTGACCTTTTCTCCGGCGGCCCCCGGATTTTGAGGGGAATCCCAGAGGAGCAGCTTACTAAAGAGGAACACTTTGGCTTTTGGAAACGTTCAGGCAAGCTGATAGTCGTGGAGTCTTTGCTGCGACTCTGGTTCAAACAGGGCCACAGAGTCCTGCTCTTCAGTCAGTCTAGACAGGTTAGGAACACGTTGCTCTGTCTTTCTGATTCACCTATCAGTCACTCGGCTAAAAGAGTAGTTCATATATATATATATATATATATATATATATAAAATAATCATTTGCACACATTTTTGCATAGGCAAAACAGGTCATTTCTAACCTGCGTCAAATTAAATAATTTAGGTCTTAAATTGTCATGTCACTTGTAAACGTTGTGTCTGTGCCTCTAAAACTGTGTGTGTGTGTGTGTGTGTGTGTGTGAGAGAGAGAGAGAGAGAGTGTATGTGAGCGAGGCCCCAGCTGTTGCAGTCAATACCAATGAGATTATACCTCAGAGGGAACCTGAGACCCTCCCTGTCGGTATCTCTGTCCATGTAATATTAATCTGCTCTAATCCTTTTAGAGATAATCCAAACCTCAGCCCCTGTCTTCCTCTCCACGTTTCTCTCCCCGTCTTTCTTTTCTCACCATCTCTCTGCTGTCTTTATCTTCTTTCCAGATGTTGGACATCTTGCAGGTATTTGTGATGGAGAATAATTACTCGTATGTGAAAATGGACGGCACTACCACAATAGCTTCCCGACAGCCCCTCATCGCTCGGTACAACGAGGTAAGGATTATTCATCCCTAATGGGGTTTAAGTGTTTCCCATGAAAATCCTGTCCTGAGGGACAAAATGCATCAGTGGAACCCTGCACACCCTGAGGTGGAAACCCTACTTGATGACAATCTGTTGTTCAAACTGGATGTACCTTATTGGCTCTGTCTTTGAAAGAAAGATTTTAAAATAAATAATAATACAACCCTCCAAATGGATGGCAAAATGTGTCCGTATTTAGGAGTTTATGTTAATGCAACGAGGAGAATCAAGTGACAAAAAGACAAGTTCAGATTAATCTGATTCTCTTTAAAAAGGATTTATTTAGAGAAAACCATGTCTTCCAACACATTTCAAGAATTTACTAATTATTTATTTATATTATTATTATTATTTATATGATTATAGAAAGGAGCATAGAACTGTGGACATGATGTTTATTAATCTTTTTCTTCCAGGACAAATCCATTTTTATCTTCTTGTTGACCACTAAAGTCGGAGGTCTGGGAGTCAATCTGACTGGAGCCAATAGAGTCATAATCTATGACCCAGACTGGAACCCTAGTACCGACACACAGGTAAGATAGATGCACACACACACACACACACACACACCTAATAGTTAAGATAACACATTTACTATGTTAATTAGATTTAATGCATTTTGGTTATTCGTTCTTGCGTTACTTGCATCTTAAAATTACCTACATTTCCTGTTCCAGCTTTTCACAATTTCTTTCCTGTTTATTTTAAGCCCCAGTAACCTTGACTCTGTGTTTCGGATAACGTACCGTATCGTCATTTGTTTGGTTTTATGGTGTTGTTCATAGGCACGTGAGCGAGCATGGAGGATCGGTCAGACGCAGCAAGTAACGGTCTACAGATTACTGACTGCAGGGACCATTGAGGAGAAAATTTACCACAGGTCAGAGTGCAGTTTTTCTTCTTGTGTTTGGCCATAAGCACTTTATACGTATGATATTCAAAGAAGGAAATCAATTAAGAAGAGGTCAAAAATAGTCCTGCTCTGGCTTTTATGCCTATGTCTCGTGCAGTTTTGCATTTTATTTATCTTTTCATTGACTTCACTCATTCGTGAATATTGGTAACGACATGACTAATTGCTCACATCACTGCTGTATTACTACTTGCACTATCCCAGGTCTCAGTAATTGAAAAGCTATCCTGCATTATTAAACGGCCAATCTAGGACTTCTAAACTGTTGCTCTGTTTGGTTAGGGTCTGTAAAGTGCCTTCAAAAAGCAAGTTAAAAGACCTGCAGGGATTCTATTTTAAAACCTACAGTAATGCAGTTAACTAATTCTCTCATCCATCAGCCAAACTACTCTACGGTGACAGATGATCACGGTTGCCTGCTGAGGTAAAATAACTAATTACATAGAAGTGTCTAATTCTATATTTGATCTGTTCTGATTCAGACAAATCTTCAAACAGTTCCTGACCAACCGTGTTCTGAAGGACCCCAAACAAAGACGCTTCTTCAAGTCTAACGACATCTATGAGCTCTTCACACTGACTGACCCTGATGGAGCTCAGGGAACAGAGACCAGTGCCCTTTTTGCAGGTCTGCAGATGTTTCTTGTTGTTTGTTAATTTTGTTCTTCCCAGAGAGACATTTTATTGCGCAATTATTCGGTTATCTGAAGCCCCCCCTGAGACAGATATATGAAAATGGATCTAGTATGGAAGAATTCACCAGCAGGCTTTGTTTTGATTGTCGTACAGGTACAGGTTCTGATGTCAAGGCACCCAAGAAACCTCAGAGGCCAATGCCATCACACAGGGGAAACCATGGCAGTCACATACATAAACACTCCTCAACAAACCAGAACGAATTAGACAGTCAATGCACTAACCAAAATAGCCTAGATATAGAGCCAAATATTTCAGCAAATACGCAGAATACAGAACAAAATAACAGAGACTGGGCCGGAGCCGAGCCAGCAGTTAAAAGCTCGAACTCATCCAGCTCTCACCAACTCAGAGACAAAGACTCGACCCTGAGTAGCCCGCAGAAACGCAGGGAAAAGAGGAAGCACTGCGACTCAGTCGTCTCGGCCAAACGCAAACATAAGAAGCGTAAACACTCCAAGGACTCTCGGTGTGAAGGACACCGCATTTCTCACTTGGTGAAGAAAGGAGCCTTTCAGAAAGAGGAGAGTGAAGACAAAGACACGGAGAAGAAATCTGATGATTATGTCTTGGCAAAGCTCTTCAAGAAATCTGGTAGGCCTTTTGTGCACAAACCCCATCAGCCATATCAGACAAGTTTTATTTCGTAAGTCTTGTGAAAAATACGCTTCTTTGTTGACTCTTATCATCTTCAGGTATCCACAGTGTGATGCAGCATGACTCCATCATGGAGTCCTCCAACCCTGACTATGTTCTTGTGGAGGCAGAAGCCAACAGGGTGGCCAAAGATGCCCTGAAAGCACTAAAGGTTTCTCGTCAGCAGTGCAGGCTGTCCTTCAATAGACCCCCTCCTCCACCTGCAAGGTACACAGTCTCACACTGTCACACTTGGGTTGATCAGAGCTCCACTAATCTCATGTGAATCACACATCTCAATTTTTTCCCTTGTTTGCTCTCTCAGGAAACGGTTTGGACAAAAGAATAATTCTCTCCTGGTTCCACCTTCCGCTCAGTCCGTCCCCACTCTGAGCAAATGCAAGGTAACAGCAGTGTTGGTATGAAAAGATGCAGATAATATTGATTTGTTATTTTGCGTTTGTGATGCCATGTTGTGTGAATTCCTCTGTTCCTGTCTTTAGGATGCTGCTATTGTGAAGAAGTCTGTGTCAAAGAAGCCTGGTTCAGGAGCTCACTTCAGTGGGGAGGGTGCAGAAAGTGACTTAAACTCCGCCCCACTCTCCTCCTCCTCCCTGCTGGCCAAGATTAAAGCCCGTAATCACCTCAGCGTGCCCTCCGGCCAAAGAGAAGAAGCAGAAGAAGAGGAGAACGACTCTGGAGCTCCAGGAACCAGCTCCCCCCCAGCTCCGCCCACTGAGCATGACGAGCTGTTGGTGGATGTACGCAACTTCTTAGCCTTCCAGGCAAATGTGGACGGACAGGCCACCACCCAGGAAGTGCTGGGGTATTTCAAACCAAGACTGACCGAGAAACAGGCGCCCGTCTTCAGAGAGCTGCTCAGGAGCATCTGTAACTTCCAGAGGACTTCTGGTCAGGACGGCATGTGGAGACTGAAGGAGCACTTCCGCTGAGGGAAGCACAGATGAAAGTGAAGGAAAGCCTGAACTGTGATGCATATTTAAGAACTTGTCAGCTTTCTTACATATTACTTTTTTTATTTTGTGTCAAATTGAGATTTTTGTCAAACAAAAATACATTGATTAAACTAGATTGAAATGGGTTTGTTATGGAAGGACCATATTAACATATTTTACAGTACAATAAGCTGTAAGCTCGTGTTATCAGTTATCCGTTAACTACATCTTGAAGGGAAAGTCAGTTACAATGTGAGCAATTGTTCACATATTGAAATTGCTTCCGTTTCTGTTTATTGTTGTTCCTGGTTGTACTTGAATTCACTTGTTTTATATTTGACTGAAAGTTAAACCTGTATAACCGTGTTAATGATCTACTCAGAGATATGGTGTTTGATTTGACAGCTTCACTTGTCAGATTTTGTAATTTTAATATGCTTCGATAAGATATAATAGGGGAGTTGTGTGTCATTTTGTAAATAGGACTAGATCTCCACGGATTTTAGTAGAATTTGTAATGAACGATTTTTCTTACTGACTTCAGTAAAATTCAAATGAGCTACCTCCTATTTGTGGAAATATTGTCAAAAAGCAGAGTAATTTACCTGCCATATTTTGTAAAGGTAAAAGGCTTGTATTATTTGTAGATAATAAACCTCTGCAACGGCTTGCTTTTTCCATGTTTGGTTATTTAAACAGGATTAGAGTAAAGGAAGTCTATTGAATTGGTATGAAACAATGTAAAAAAAGAATTGTATTTCAAAGAAGATGATCAGCCCTTGTATACAGGTACCAAGCCAAACGAATGAGTTATGTGGTAAATCCATATTCACCAGAATAATAGTGGTAGATATGAATTTATTTATTTAGTTTGAAAATGTATGGTTTCACTGAAAAGACCGTCAGTGAGTTATAGTTGCGTGTGGATGTGTGGAGCTGACCAAGTTCCTGAAAGTCCGGTATAAGACAGCTGTAGAAATCATGTAAACATGGGACTCAAACCCTTCTGTACATAGTGAAAGTTAACTTGGAAAATTGCTTCTAACCAACGAGTGTAATTTCATTAAGACACTTAAGCATCATCTGGACGGAAGCCGCTGACAGGAAGTAGACATGCACACACACACACTCTTGTCGGAGTTGTCTAGACCAAATATTGGGATAAAGTTATCAACCGTTATTTGATTTCAATTTTCTCCACGCACCTCACTGAGGTCATAATAACAACTTTATTTTCAGTGGTGCATAAATTAATTACGCGCATTTAATAACTAAAATATCATTATATTCCCCCTTTAATAACATAAACGCTGCACGCCAGGGAAACCCTTAATAGCGCGGGGCCCTGTAACTGGCCATTATCCGCCTGTAATGATATTACAGAACCAATTACGCACCATTAGAAGGGATTTTCTGCACTTTATGTGGTTTAGTCCAATCCCGCACTCCTCTTCTAAATTTCAGCTGCTTCTCGAAGCCTCATTTTGCCTCCACCTCAGAGACGCATGGCGTCTGCTCTCTGCCGTCCCCGATGCGCTTTAAAACTAATTGAAAGGGTCCCGCAGCAGATCATTTATCTGAGGAAGCGAAATAAATCGCAGGACCCCTTGCTGTGAACAAAATCAAAAATTTGGCCTTGTGAGTGTTCTACATGCGCAACCCCTTGTAAAGTGGACCCCCTAACACACCCTGACGAGCAATTAACCCACCCGACAGTCAATCTAAAACCCAAAAGCAGTCATCCTCCTTTTTTTAATATATGAAAGAACCACATAAAAAAATGCAGCGGGTATGTGTGCATGTTTATGGTTAGGGAATATGCTTGACTCTGGAATAACAATCACTTGTGATGAATTTTTTTGGCACCATAGCAGAGCTGCCGTTTGCCACCCTGGGTATAGATCTCTCCCTCTTTCTCTTCCTCTTTCTATCTTCCTCTGACACACGCGCACACACACACACACAACAGGGGTTGGGGGTGAGAGAGACAAAGCCGTGATAATCCGATTAGGACCAATTAGGCGTGAGATTCTGCGACACTAGCTGAAAGCCTTAACACTCTGTAGACAGTTATACAGTTATAGAGACATCTGGACACTCCCAGAGAGAGACAGAGAGAGAGAGAGAGATGTGAGTGGTGTGCGTGTGTGTGTGTGAGAGTGTGTGTGTGTGTGAGAGAGAGAGAGAGAGAGAGAGAGAGAGAGAGAGAGAGAGAGAGAGATCTGGACACTCCCAGACAGAAAGTCAGTGGAGTGCAGCAGCCACTTCTCTCCAGAGCGGGAAGTCATTCACATCAGCATCCTCACTGCAGGTAGGATGCTCTCTCTCATCAACTTTGAATCGCCCGAAGTCCCGCACGGCACCACCTCTTATTGGGACGATTAAATGTGTTCATTTTTTTCCACCACAGAACTAAATCGCACGGTAACAGCTGCAGACGATCCGAGTCTTTGGATTGAAACTTTGGTCTCTGTTCCAGGTCCAGGTTCGCAGCTCAGAGACCCGTCAGGATGTTCTACTTTCACTGTCCGCCTCAGCTGGACGGAGAGTGCTGTCGCCCCAACACATGTGAGTTTCCTATCCTGCATTTTTCACCGCATCGTTTTCTGTTGATTTCATACAGCTGCAAGTTATTTATGATTTAAAGCCAGAGTCTGAGAAAGTTTTAGTAATGTTCAGGCTGCGTTCTTGCGCGCACAGAGTGTGCGTTGTTCTTGTTGTAGGACCGAGAATAAAATGCCCGAGTATATGCTTTCTTTTTTCTTTTTCTTTTTCTTTTTAATGATCATCTTTAATAATTAATAATGAAACAGACACAGGCATGTAAAAGAAAACGTTATTATTATGCAAGGAACACTTAAAATATGTCATACTCCACAGTTAGTAATCACGACAACACCATTATGAAAACATATTTTTCATTTCAAAATTTAAACTTAAATGCTTTGATGGTTAAAGTAACTCCAAAAACATCTAAATCCGCGAGTAATTCCTCTTTCCCACCGATGTAAAGGTGGATGAAAGGGGTTAAGTCTTATTTTCCCTCTGCTGTATCAATCTGCTGGGTGTTTTTTGTGAGAAGCGCTGGTGGTTTAGCCCCAGGGCAGAGGGGGTGTTTTGTCCCGGTCACAGATGTTGGGTGTCATGGCTCTTAGTCCGTCATGGTTCCCCTCAGACACCCAACATCAATGTTTCATACAACTAATCGAAATACAAAATGTGCCAGAGATCTTGTCGGCTTTGGCCAAAATGTATAGTTTTTTTCGACATTTCTTTCTCTTCAGACGGAGGTTTTTATTTTTTAACATATTTACTGAATTGATTTCAATGCAAACATGAAATTGGAAACTGAATTGAATTTTATTAAGTGACAGATTTCTCTTCAATAAACTTTTTTTTTCAGTGAATTCAAGTGGCTTTGGCAACCACGCCCCGGCTGATTTTGATGATGGATTTCTACGTAGAAAACAGCGCAGAAACAGAACAACATTTACTTTGCAACAGGTAATTATCATCCAGAACAAATATATCCCCAATAAGAAATAAATGGAACTTCGCTTAAAGCCAAACGGCACTACTAAATGTAGGAAAATAATAAAACACTTCAAAATTAAGGACTTTGGCAGAAAGTTGTGTTTTCCAGACAACTACCATGGGTACACAGAATAAGACTTTTTACAATTGGTTTGATGCAATGAAAACCTAAAAGAAAAATATATCAGTGTCTCACACACATGAAAATAAAAATACAATATTAGAAAACCTCTAGAAATGAATATGTCCTTTTGAAGATCATGCCTGCGCATATATGTAAATTGCCCTCTTTATGCGTGCAGCCAATTAGATTTTAGGACAATATCTAAGCCTATTTTAGTCCACTTTACTTTTATCTTTTATTAGGTTGTTATCCCTATCAAATGTATGTGAGTTAATTTTAGATATGATGATGACATTAAGGAGGAGGAAACTAGAAGACAAGAAAAGCCTAGACAAATAGAAATTAACAAATGCATCAATAAAAACTTATTTTAAGTGTAACTGGTGTTTTGTGTCCATACAGCTGGAAGCTTTGGAGGCCGTCTTTGCCCAGACTCACTATCCTGACGTATTTACCCGGGAGGAGCTGGCCATGAAGATCAACCTGACCGAGGCCAGGGTGCAGGTAGGCAGCAGCAGCGTAATGTGTCCTGGGCACGTTTGACCATGCAAGAGAGGGTAAATTAAGCCACTCTGTCATTCCGGCGATGCACTTTAATAACATCAACATAATGGTGAATATTAGATTAGCTTGATTAATCGGTCATTCATAATTAACCAGCGATAATGTTCCTCACTAATTTGTCCGCGTCTCAAAGGTAGGAATACATCATCCATGCAGATCCTTTTCCTTTTACGCAGACAGGAAACGATATGTGCTTTAAAAGACGGCAAATCCTGAAGCCTCCAAAAGTCTCTCCCCCTCTCTCTATTTTTCACACACACACACACACACACACACACACACACACACACACACACACACACACACACACACTTTAAAGCACAAACACACCAGCAACAAAAAACACACACGCACCTTAAATTTGGCAATTTATATTCCGGTCCTGCCCTGCACATATGCGCAGTTATAAACTTGGCCAGATGTAATTAAGTTATGTGTCCTGTATGTAATTTCCCGCATTCCAGATTTGCTTTTGGGTTTTGTTGTGCGCACAGATCTAATTGTGGGAAATATAATAGTTTGCCTTTTGTTCCCCAGGGTCATCTTACTATCGCTTAAACCCAATGGCGGGGTTGATAATGGAATCCAGCGTTGTAAATTAGGGATTGTAAACAAATTATTCCCCTCCTAATCCGATTACCACATTCCTATTATTAAATCTGAACATGAATCCACCGCAGTATGCAGGGATATTAAACTTACATTATTATTAGAAAATAAATTTCCTTTCTGTTGTAGTGTTATTGCCCCCCTTTTTGTAAAGTGTCAATGGGCCTCCCCCGCATTAAGAGCACGCTGCAAATTGAGATTAATGGAGCAATTATAGCCCATTCAGAGACGGGTGTGTGTGTGGGGGGGGGGGCGCGACTTCTAGCTGGAAGGTGCAGGGGTGAGATAAGTCCATTGGTTGTATTGTTGTCCTGCCACCAAAATGTTGTCCTTTCTCTATGCCGAATGAATGCACGTGTTTTGTTTGGCTGTTGACATCTCCGGTACAATAGGAGGGATGCAGAGCACATGCATACTGACTCTAACCTCCATTCACACATCATGATTAATGCCTGCTAGAACCAAGTCCTAATCGAATCTGATGTTGTCAAACAATCACTAAATAGGGAAATAAACGACTTCATCATAGCTGCCTCTCTCTCGGGCAGCACAACTGTCAGTGGGAAGTCATTAAAATATGATAATGAAAAATTGCTCAATTAAATGTTGTTATAGGCAGTGACCTTCATTCGATTAAGATACCACTACTTATATGTTCTCAGCTGTGTGGATGGGGGATTTTTTTGGGATAAGTCGCGGACTGTGGAAAATTAGAGCGCTCTAGCATGATGCATTCAAACACCTCTTGAAAGTAAATTGATCATTTGTTTAACTTTGCAAAACCTGTTAACAAGATCGAAAAATACAATCTGTAAACTATGCTTTAAGTTTGCATTTGTTTGTCTGTGATATGCCAAAAGAATATGCAAGAGAAATTAAGAACTTGCTAAGATTCAATTTGTCATGGATACAAAGCTGCATTCAATAAATTAAATAAATGGTTGCAAACTACTAATGTGTCAGGAAATGCAACCATTCTCTAGTTTTAATTGGTGAT